ACTGATGAACTGGTTCTTCAGGTTCCGCCACGAGGTGATTGAGCCCGGGGCGAGTCCTTTGTACCAGTCCATGGCCGCCTTCCTGAGAGTCGTGGGGAAAAGACGGCACTTGATGGGCCCCCCCGACATTATGATAGTGGAGCATAGCCTCGAACCCGTCAATATGGTCGACCGGGTCCGCGACTCCATCGTACTCCTTCAGATGTGGGGGCTTCTCCATGCCCGGTGGGATGGGTGCATCCATGATGGCCTGCAACAGGGGACCGCGGGGGTCGTCCTCGTCGCTCCTCTCCGGAGACAGAGATGGGGATCTGTAGTATTGTCTGGCACGATGGTCGTGGTCGTGTTGAGTTTCTCTCGAGCGGGATGCTCGGTTGTTGAATTTCACGTGCCTATCTCCGGAGTGCCTTCTCTCCAGTACCGCCGGGTCGTGACCGGGCTCTCCGGCCTGAGTGATGGGTTGCCTCTCCAGGTAAGGCCGTCTCTGTTTCGGTCGGGGAGATGGGCTTCGAGAGGTCTCCCTGTAGTGTCTCCGCGGGGGAGAAGGGTGTCGAGCTTCAGTCACTCGAGGAGGGGGAGTATGTGGTCTCCGATGCCTCCTCGAGGGTCTTCGCTCGTCTTCAAGCGCCTTTAATCTCTCTCCTTGGGCGAATATGAAATAGTTCGTTTGATTAATTGCTGCGAACAACGCTTGTGTGGTGGCATCCGCCCCGGAGGGGACGGGGACTTCCTGAAACCGGGCGGCTCTGTAGTGGGCGAGGGCCGCCGGGTCGTCCTCGAGTGGTGGTGGGAGCGAGGAGGATGATGCAGTAGCCCCGTCCCTGTATGAGGAAGTTCCGGGGGCAGTTGTTGCAGGAATGGTGTTATGGCCGGGATTGCCGGCGTTGTCGAGATGTCCATTTTTGTCCGCCGTGCCGTTATTGGTGTCGGCGACACGGGCGTTTTGCTCATCGCGAGTTGGATCAGCCATGACAGGTAGTTGAATTTGAGCTTTGGTCTTTTTAGTTGTTTGTAAGACGGGGAAGCTAGTTTCCCACAGACGGCGCCACTGATCTGACCTGATCAGACTTGGACCGTCACGGCTGGCTCCGAGCTGAAAGTTTTGAACGAGGTAGGGGGGGTACCTGCAAGACACTACGATGCTGAAGTAAGTAAGAGCACGAGCAGGCAATAGTAAGTATGGGTAGAATGATGAATACCTGATCCTCTGGAAACAGAGGGTATTTATAGCCCCCGGCGCTGGGCCAAGGTTCCTTCATTGGGCCGAGCAAGTTTGGCCCAATGGAGGAACTTCCAGGTTCTACGTGCGTAGTAGGGACCCGCGCGTGGTCCCCTCCCTGGATGTTCTGCGTGAAGTGCGGGCGGACAGAGACGCGGTCTTTTCGGGGTCTCGTTGGGAGTGCAGTGGACTGAGTCTGCCCCAGTTGGGGTGCTCGAGGTGATGTCGAGCTGGACAGTAGGATGTCGAGCTGGACAGTTGGAGGTCGAGCAAGTAGCCTCAGGGAGCACGTCGGACACGACTGTGACCCTTTGGTCGGCGTGGTCCTCAGCAAGTCCGTTTGGATTGGGCCTTATCAATGCTATTGGGCCTGTCGGGCCCAGTCCAGAACACATTTTATGTGGCATTGCATAATCGTTGCTTATATGTTGTTGTATACGATGTTATGCTAATTGAATGATTGTGATGATGATTGTTTATTTTGATGCCATGATATTGATGTTAAACTACTATTTATATTCTGTATATCTTTTGTAATGAATGTGATTACTCATCTTTTCTGTTTGAATGTTGTCTCCACGTGGGTAACACGCAGGTGACATGTGTAGTTCGTATGAGCTTAGAAGATAGCTCAGAATGTGTTATTTTCTTTCCGTGAATTTTTAAAAGGTCTTGCTCTAATATGTAACAGCGGGATCGGGAACGTTTGATTTTGAACTTGATGTTATTTTGTCTTATTATGAGATTTTGAACTACCTTTCATAGTATATAAGTTATTTTGAATTAGGAACCATGAACAACGAAGTTTCTATGATGTGTTTAATAAAGACGTTTTGAATAATAAATTCTGATGCGAGTAGTTAAAGCATTATGGTTGTTATTTAATGAGTTATTCGTTATAAATAATTTTGAAAACCCGTGTGATGGAGTAAGACATACATGTAGGATGTATTATGAAGCATGTGACGCCCTTTTGCTGAAATACCCTGATTATTTATTTATGTTATTCGTGGGATTTTAGAAGGGTGTTACAATGAATACTTAACTTAATAATTCAGAATAAACATTTACTTATTTACTTATTTTAAATAACACATAAATAAATATTTACTTATTTCAAATAAACTTAATTATAGTTTTGCTCCTCCAGTTTTACTTGATTCAAGAAATTGGTCAACTATTTTAAATTTAAACACTTTTGGTCCATCTATTTTAAATTTAATAGTTTTGTTCCTCCTCTCATACTTTTATACTTAAAACTAATCATGTTTTTGTTTTTTAAATGACAAGTTACTAGTAAAATATTACAAATCGTCATATATAAACCTATTATTGAACTTTGTAGATAAAAACGTAAGTTAAAAGGTTTTGAGTTTAATATTACGACAAATCATGAAAGTTAACTATCAGTAATGTACATTGACCTAGTGCTAAAGACACAATATGTGGGTTAAAGATTTTGAGTTCAATTCTTTCTAGGACAAATTTTTTTTTATATTTTTAAATCTGAATTATTTAAAATATAATAACAAATTTTGGCTTTTTCTAATATTTTTAATTCAGAATTATTTAAAAATAAAATTGAAATTAAAAATAAAAATCAATTTAGTATTTACAAAATGAAAAATAAAAAATAAAATTCAACGTGACAGTCCAGACATGGTTTAAAAGCACGAAAAAAACTGAATTGAAAAAAATATTAACAAATGTATTAATATGGTCCGATTAAATTTTGTAAGGGATTAGATCATGTCCTTTTTTCTGTTGAAGATTAATTTGAGTTTTGTAATTTTTGTGAGTTCACTCATTTTTATAATATTTATGCTCTATTTGGTAAAAATAGTGGTTGACTAATAAGCTAGCTGATAGCTTATAGTTTGTGACTGATGACTGATAACTAATAACTTATGACTGATGACTTATAGCTGCTAAGTTAATTGAAGTATTTGATAAAATTAACGATTCAATTAAGTGATAAATTAAAATTATATAAAAGAAATTTAATATATAATTATTTTATTTTAAATTAAAATAAATTATAAATAATATTAGTGAATTTTACATAAAATAGTAAGGATAAAAATGGAAGAACAAATGATAAACTGTAAGTTAGTAAAATAAACTAAAAGCTCGTAAAGAAAAGATTGTTATTTTCTTTTACGTCTAAACAACTTCATAAGGCCTAAGGGAAAAAGTAAAAGTTAAACAGTGTCACCAGAGGGACAGAAGTCAAATCAAGTATTAGATCTTATGATTTTAGCTAAACATGTTAACTGGTGAGCATCCACATCAAGATTCCTGCTAAAAATATAATAGTTGCAGAATTAAAACTAACTCCGCCATAACTGAGTCAACACTTGTCCTCTCCTTCTTGCAGGCAACTACCAGAACCTTATTATCATGGTCTTTTACTACGCAGTCAAAAGTGATTCCCCCTGCATCGATGCAACCTGCTTTTACCTGCACAATACAAATATTTTTCGGGACATTCTCTATAAAAGGATTTTTCCGCGAGACCTCCTCCCTATTGTGCGCTTGGTTCACCTTTGAAACCTCCCCCACATACTGTCAGACTTCAGACACAATGTATTTCGGCTTCACCCTTTTTGACCTGTACAAAACATTGTTCTTGGTTGTCCAAAATTTCCACAAGGTAGTACTAATGATTCTTGCATTATCCTTATTGTTTGAACCCAAAACACTTAACAACCACTCCAAAATCTCCATACCTGAAGGAATACGGAAACCTAAGGTGAAGAGAAACAACAAGCTTTAGTGAACTCACAATGCATGAAGAGATGAAAACTTGATTAAGGAGCCGAATTGTACAACGAACACGTAGGATCAAGGAAGACACATTTTGCTTGAAGATTGGTTTTTGTGCGTACGATGTTTTTTGCCAGACGCCAAAGAAAGTTATGGACTTTAGGAAGAACATTGAGGTGTTTGATAGCTTTCCATAATTTTTCGTTCGGTGGGGCCGAAGGTAAGGTCTCAAGTTGATGAAGCATGTGGTAAGCTTGCAGAAAACTCACCATCCTTCTCAAAATTTCAGATTTGCTCGTCTTTTGGAAGTCTCCTTGAAAGAGGAATATTAAGAACATGATTTGTCTCTAACGGATTCAGACGGCTCTGAACCAATCCACTGTTCCTGTCTATGAAATCACAAACTCTTTCTTCCATATTGAAAGATGCATCAATTTTAAAGAGTTTAAACCCCAGAATGTCAAACAGCTTATAAAGAGATTCTTTATTATTATATAAATTTATAAACTATAAACTCAAAAAATATTTTGTCAAATAGAATCTTATTAAAAATAGTTATATTTCTAAAAATAATGAGAATTGCATTTTTCAATTGTACTTCTACAAAAACATTAAAAACAAACATACTAGAAAGTTATCGGTTTAATTATCACATACATAAAGATCGTTTGAATAAAAAGAACATATTTAGAAATTATAACACAAGTTGTTTATGAAAATAAACATTTATAAATTAGTACCAATCATTTTTATATTAAAAAATAAAATAAATTAAAATGATTTTTGTTATAAATTATTCTCATAAACTACCTTTAAAAATTTATAAATTTTTATAAGTCAAAAAATATTTAATAAAGTCGAATAAGCCTATCCAAACATCCCATAATTATTCCCCACAAGGGTAGAGAGGGAGGAGAGTTACAGAGTTGAAACCGCCCAATGTTGTCCTAATTCTTAGACCCCATTTCTTGTTGATTTGCAATTTGAATTCTCCTTCCAAAAGGTATTCACAAAAATGTCTCTCCCTTATCCTTCCACTTCCACTTGTTTCCAACCTCTCACATACACCAAATCCTTCACAATCCAACCTCCCTTTCTCAAATTCAAGGTATTTCATCTTTCAATTTTACAATATCAATTAGATGAATGGGTAATTTCAATTTCTCTGTAAATTACTCATCCTTTTTATGTTTAATGATTTGTTTTCGCTATTGCAGGGGTCATCAGGTTTAGGTATTAAGCCATTTTATACATCTCAAAAGACAAACCCTAAGATCTCGTGTGCTATCAACGTGTCTGCCGCACATTCATCCCACGATGATAGAAAACTGCAATTCGATCGGTTAATAAACAAAGCGCGAATTCTTTGGGACAATTCTCCTCAGCCAGTGAAGAATTTTCCATGGAACGCAGCACTGGGAAACTTCATTCAACTTGTTATCGATCTTACTTTGGCTGTTGTCAAGTACCTTTATGTACCTGTGTTTACAGTTACCTCTATCAGCGAGTTATCCTATTGCGCACGTCAAAGGAAGCTTGTTCTTGTTCCTCTTCCGATTCTACTTGGAGCTGCCGTTGCTGGGATCCTTAAAGAGACTGCATTGGAGATGTCTCCACGGCTAAGGGTAAAACCATTGCGCTATGCCTCATTGTGTAGTCTAGAATAGATATTCGATAAAGTAGTTGGATTTTACATTTTCATAAAAAAAGAGTAGTTTACCATGAAAGAAACAAACATGATGCTCAAACTCTGTAGATCCTTATTCCTTAAAAAAAAAAAAATCCTAGTGTGTTTGGTTCTCAAGTGACGAGAATTGATTTTGTAGAATTAATTTTTGTTAAAAGTGAATTGGATGTGAAGTGATTTGTGTTATTATAAAAGTGAGTTGAACAACAAGCTTCAGAGTAAAAATCACGTTTAAATTCAAAAGTTACTAATAGTAAGTTCAAGTAGAATCAATTCTGGAGGCAGAATGAATTCTACTATAGAAAACCAAACACCTCAAAATCATTCCAAAATTAATTCTACGCGTCTAGAATTGCTTTGGCTTCTTCCAAAAGCTAAACCAAACATACATGTATTTTGAGTTGCTGACAATTGAGCTTGTTCCACTTTTGAAGTTTTACTTTTCAGTTATTTGACATGATAACATTTTGACTACAATTGATGTTCTTTAATTATGTCTTCCAACATATACAGCCAACATTAAGATTGCATGTTGAATTCTAAGATAGATTATGAATCCGAAGATTGGAAGACTGAGGGAGTATTAAGAATGAGGCCCGTGATTTGATCTGTTATGCTAACAAATTCACTCTCCTCTAACAAACTAACTAGTTATGACTAGTATTTGCCTTTAAAAAGATAAAAGTGAAACTATATGAGTGCCTCATTTTTTGGGTCAGGCCTGTTTGGAACTTACACTGGTGTTAATATTTTTGGAGAAATTTTAACCAGTTTAAGTATTGGAAAATGAATGAGAAACTCAATCTGATACTCCTCCCTCCCCATTTACTGTATTTGATCTTCCTCTTACTGTATCTATGCATGTGTGGTTTTCAGGATGCAGAAGTTCCATGGCATTTAATTGCAATTGCGATTTTCTTCACATTGATCAAATTGCCAGGTCCATATTACCCTTATTGGGGACGTATACTAATTCCTCAGTTTGCAAACGGGGTTTTATTCAGGGCTCTATGGTTTGCAATATTGTGGTATAGAAGACCTAAAGTATTGAAGATGTCAGAGTCCGATAGTTAGTTAACTCCCTGAGCTATGGTACAAGGTTGCAAAGTCCATTTCAGTGGTAAATTTCATAAATTCTTTCTAAATTCTACTACTTATATCCTTGGTAGTTTGCACAGAGGCTATAATTTGTTTCCTCGTTTATGATTAAATGTTATGCAACCAATTCATTAAATGTTGTTCCCCCTGCCTAATTGAAAATATATTTCATAGTTTAGTACATGAATGAGTGAACAGTACCCTACCATCCCAGTCATTTAATCACTTGATCCCAATAGATTCTCACACAAAAGTGGCACCCGACAATAACTGTCTCATTCCTTCTTCAAATTGGGCTGTGTTTCCCAGTGTCCAATACAACACCTGATCCTTATTTTAGTCAACATTATTATTGGGCCTCAGGGTCCTATCACTTCCTCCCTTAGAAATTGGCTTTGAAGCATAGAGTCAACTTCCAATTGTGGTATCATGAAAAGGCCTCACTTTCCATTTCACAAGCCATTGATTGAAAGTTCTCCCTCCATTAATCACCAACTGCCTTCTTCAATTGAGAGATATGGAACAATGGGTGAATACAGAAAGTCACAGACATTTTGAGCTTGAAGGCTACTTCCCCAATCCTATCAATCCAAAAGGCCTGAAATAGCATCGGAGCCAAATTATGATTGAGCATGTGAGCCACTGTGTTCTGCATATGGGACCTGAGCTTGAGGAACACCTATTCTCCTACTGAAAAATGCATCCTTCCTCTTATTATCAACACATTAGGAATGGCTACATTAGAGAGAGGGAGAGGATTGTAGCAGCTATCATAGAGAAGATGGTAGAAACTCAGTTTAGGTGGTTTGCACATGTGGAGAAAGAGCCGTAGATTCTAGAATAAGTAGATTAGACGGAGGGTGGTCAGTTTACTAGAAGCAGAGGAAGACTTAGAAAAACTAGAAACTTTTAAGAATGACCTAGAGGTTGGTTAGTTGGATAGAGATATAGTATATGAAAACATTATGGCATTGTTTGATCCATGTAGCTAAGCCTACCTAGTAGTGGGATACAGATTTGTTGTTGGGCACACTGCAAATGCTCCTTAAGCTGCTGGGGGGCCTCCACAGATGCTACCATGCCTTGGAGTTTGAACAAATCCTTCCAGAATAAACTGACAAATAATGGGTATCAATCACTTACTATGGAATGAGGGACTGCGTGAAGAAGACGCACTACCTTGGCGAATAGTTCTACCACCTTTTGCACTGTGTAAGGATGTTTTAACTGAATGAAGTTGGCATACTTCGAGAGACGGTCTACAACCACCACTAATGCTTTACAGTCCTTAGACTTGGGCAATTCATTAAGAAAAACTAAAGATACAGCTTCAGCAAGTAGTAAGGATAAGATGTCACATGCTTTTCTTGTGCTGGCACATATCACGGGATTTACAGATGAAATAAAAGAATAATAATAATAATAGTTCTAGCAAGTAATACACCAAGTCACCAGTATAATGACGTTCTCTCTTAATTCTGCAAATATTAGTATGTTTGTGATGAAGACACCAATGTATTTTAGTTCTATTGTATTAAATTATGGTGCTTAACCATAGGTTTGCTTGTAATGAACTTTCTTAAAATGTTATTGATAAATGACACTGACATCTAATTCCTTTATTGATAACAGGAAACGAAAATTCTCACTAATGAAGGTCTTGGAAAATCAAACAGTACTTTGAGAATTTCATTGAAATTAGTATTCACTTTGTTGAGAAAAGATGTATGCTTAGCCTTTTGTCATGAGAATGGCTGATAAGATTTTGTTGAATGATCCAGATAATCAGGTGGGTTAGCATTAAATTGGTTTCAATGGGGATTCATCCTTTTTGTATAAGATTTTTGTCATACTTGTCAAACTTGTGGAGAAAGGGTAAATGTTTTTGTTATTTTTCTCTTCCTTTATGAGTAATATAACAATTGACATGTTCAGATTGGAGCATGTACACAATTTTGAACCAATATGAACAAATTGGGGAAGTTTGTCCAAACTGTATAAGATCATTATGCGCTTAGATTATTGATGCTTCTAAGAGTCAAATTGGTTTGTTTTGTACTAGAAGAATAGATAATTGTAATTGGAATGAAAAACTATTTTAAACTTTTGTACTTGAAAATTAATTTTAAATATTTCTTCTAGAGTTTTCTCATTTTGTAAGTTTCATGAAATCTAGCATTACATTTCTTGATATAGAGATGTTTGAAGACTTTTCAACATTTTATAATATTGTCGATCGATCGATCATACCAGTGTCGCATATATTTTGATTGGACTCTTTGTTTTGTAACGGTGAAATACACACCACTTCAATTTGGATTTGGAAATCCGGGCGCATACACACCACTTCAATTTGGATTTGGAAATCCTGGTGCAACATTTATTTTTCAGCTCAAAAAGAAATGATCTAAAGCAATGTATATTACTTGAAACTACATATTCTATTACTCCCTTAGATACCAAAATACAATATCAAAATACAAAAGAATGTTGTTTTGAAATAAAGATGTTGAGTGACAATGGAGGCATATATTTGTAGGGTTTTTGAAAATAAGGTGTTTTGAAAATAGGTATATATGCAACATGACAATCAAATACATTTTCCCGCTTGCAAATTCAGATATTAGAATCTGGAATATATCCGGAGAATTAATTATGGACCTTTTCTTTTGACAAAAATAGGGAGCCTCAGTCATGAAGTGATTTTGTTGAAGAACAAGTAATGTTTGGAGATTGAAATCCGGAGTATAGGAAAACATATTAGAGTTTCCATAGGATGTGTGATCGCTACATGGATGTAGTGATCAACACCCTTATAATAAGCATGAAACCAAAGAAGGATCAATAAAGTACTTCAAAGGAAAAGAAAAGACAGCAACTTAATCATAATATAACAACTTGATACATCTATAATACAAACTTGTAATTCAAACAGACTCTCACAAGCTCAGAATATATACACAACATAACAGAATCCTTCCTTGATGATGTGAAATCTTTTTCTTACAGACATTTCAAAACTCACTGAACAACTCAGGATACAAACATTTAAATTGACCAGCCAGTTTCCATTGTTTGCTATACCAACTTACATTGCATAAACTATCTCACCACTGCTATCGATATCAAGGTCGGGATCAGTTTCCACATCCTCATCCATTTCATCATCGATGTCCAAACTACCGGTAAGATACTGGTTGAGAGACTGATGAGTTCCAGCTGCAGGAATAGTAGCTTCACTAATTATCTGCATGATTTCTTCAACGGTCTGCATCGGTTGTTCAGGCTCTTGAAACTGGTCGTTCATTGTATTTCCGACTATAAGATCAGCTGGAAGGTTCTTCAAAAACCACACGTGGTTTCGAATCTCAGACATACTTATTCTCTGTGTTTCAAAACATTGTTAGTTTCCGATTGAATGATGATGCTATCATCTTACATGAAAAAGAAGTAAAAGAGGAGCACGGCAACATAAATTTCACCTGTGCAGGGTCTGCAACGAAGATCCTTGAGATCAGATGATGGCACTCGGGAGATATTTGGACATAATCAGGAATTGAGTATTGGACTTTCAAAATCCTCTGCAACAAAAAACCAGAAGTTCAAAAACCACAATTCCCTTTTATTGCTACATTGGTTTAAAATAAGTTGCAAAAGGTTACATGAATAGTCTTCCGGAAATTTTTAGGCTCCTCCGGATCCTCGAAAGGATATGCGCCCACTAACATGACATATAAGGTAACACCACAAGACCATACATCTGCAATCTGGACGATAGCGACAACATCAGTACAAAATATTCTTAAGCAAGAAAAACTATTGGAAAGGAAAGAAGCATTGCTTCTGCATTAACATCTAATGTTTACAAATCTTCACGAGTGTATTTACCAGTGGTTGAAGTAACGAATCTCAACTAACTGAAACTTACAGCGAAACAACAAAAGTCTAATTAGGTACAAACATAAACAAAATACATATAAAAAAAAGAGAAGTTAATTGCGCAATGCAATTGGAAATTTTCAGAATATCACTAGCTAAATGGTTTTTTTTCCAAGGATGAAAGTTACAAAATAAAATACCTTGCCATCATATTCCTTCTTAAGCAAAACTTCAGGAGCGATATATGCAGGTGTACCGACGGTAGATTTTGGTTGTGAATGTAGCACTGATGACTGCAGAAGACAGTCAAGATTACACAAATTAATTTGCTTGAGGTCGGAGAAAATTAAAATTTCGAAGAAATTTCAAACTAGTATGAGAAAAAGTATACCTTTGAATACCCAAAATCACAAATCTTCAAACGAGGAGCCGGACTACCATCCAACAACGTGTTCTCCAACTTCAAGTCACGATGACATACTTGCTTTATTAAGAAATACAAATAGATATATTCGAGTCAGGCATTTTACTATATTGTTTGGGCGGAAAATGGACTATTTGTAAAAGTAATGACTATGTGTGTCGAAATTATGTACCATTGCATGACAGTAGCTAACCCCTGATATAAGTTGTTGAAAGAAAAACCGTGCCTGCAGCACAACATAATCGTCACTAACTTTAACCACAGCAGCAGTACTGCATTCAAAATCCATGAATTGAAACGATAAGAACCTCATCCTCGCTGAACCGTCCTGCATTGCATATTCGCTCAAATAGCTCTCCTCCAGAAGCATATTCCATCACAATAGCTAAATGTGTAGGGGTAAGTATCACCTATATTTGACGAATATAAGTACAACGGATTAATATAGATAAATATACGAAGATTAGAAGAAATATGATAAAACATTGGATCCGACACCTACGAAAAAATGTGAGTTCAGTGTCTCTGACACCAACACGACATGACACTTGTGATTGCTGTCAATTTATTCATTTTTTTAAAAATTATTCAGTGTGTGTCAGTGTCGGCGTCCGTGCTTCATAGGTACATCATAGGTACAGAGAACAAACCTCCTTGAATCTGACAATATTAGGATGCCTTAGTGATCTATGATTTATAATTTCCCTCTGTACATTTTCATCAATCTGTTAATAAATAGGAATAGTTAAGTTCAATATCAAGCATAGAAAATCATATCAATATGCATGTAATTCCTTTCAAAACTCAATAAATTCTACCTTAAAGCTAAGCATAGAAAATCACAAAGAGATAAAAAACCAATAACTGAGAGAAATAAAGGTCAAACCTTATCACCTCTCTCAATATACTTGACAGCAACACGTTGATTAGTGAGTTTATCTCTCATAAGCCTAGCCACCCCAAAATTCCCAGACCCAATATCACGAACAAGCTCATACCTATCACTCTCATGCATAATCGGTATATCCATTCCCATTCCTCCTGGCCCAACAGTGTTCCTAGAAGAAGAATTCATTTTTCTTGAAAAAAATCTCACCTTTTTCAAAATTTCAGCATGTCAGCATCAGTCACATTGAGAAACAACAAAAACCCAGATCAGATCTTTGAAAAAGAAAACGTGGGTTGGTAGGTGATGGTTGAAGAAAAGAGAGAACAAGTTATGATTATGGGTCAAACACGTGAAAAGGTTCTTGAGGCACCAAAATCTGAAGCAGTGGTTGGAGTTGCAGATCAAGAGGGGCGGTGATGATTTGCTCGTGAATGTGTGAAATCTTCTTTTCATTTATTTCTGTGTGTGTGTGTTTGTTTGTTGAGTTTCTTTCTCACTCACTCCAAAGTTTGTCTTTTTTGATTTTATCCAAAAACAGAGAATCTAGGAACATGTGGCAACAGATGTTTTATTTTATTTCATTACATTGCATAGTAACCACTTTGAATTCATTAAAGGGTAACGCTTTATCTCTTAGGATAGGTTAAATATATTATAATTAATTTTTTTTAAATATAATTAAATATAATAAAGTTATATTTAAAATTTTAAAATATTAAATATATGTATTTTAAGAAAATATTTTTATAAATATTCTATTTAGTCACTATTATGAGCGAAAGTTTCTTTTTTAAATTTATTAAATAATTTATGTATCAAATATTTTTGTAGATCACATACATCAATTATTTAATAAATTTAAAAAGAGAATTTTTGTTTATAATAGTGATTTGAGAGAGTAACTTATTAACTTATGTTTTTGGGATATATTAGTTTTATTTTATTTTATTAAGTACTCTGGTTGGATCACTCTTAAAAAAATTAATAGTTTTTTATTAAAAAATTTGAATGAATTATGTAAAATTAATTAACTGAGTTATGTTCGGATACATTTAGATAAAATAATTTTAATAATAAAGGATGATATCGAGTTTAATTTTTGGTGGAAACAATATTTGACCAGTATTTATATCTTAGTTTATGAGTTCTGAATTAAGAGGGACTCATTTCTTTAGGAACCAGAGTGCAAAAGCAAAACAAAAATAAGTTTTGACAATATTAATGTATAAATTAAAATTTCATACTGGATAATAGATAAAGATTATCAAGACTTTAAAGTAATGAGAAACTATTATATAAGCATATTCTTTTTGGTGTTATTGGTCAGTTCATTTATTGCAATGATAATGATATCTCCAATAATTTAACAACCACTCTTAACTCTTAAAGGGTGAGTGATTGATACTAAAAATGCAAGAGGTGCGATTAAGTTTCATAACTTTCTATATAATGTTTGTTGATTTAGGATATGCTTTACGCACTATCGCGTGTTATGGACGAGAAAATTGGAGACTTATGTGACACATCTGGACAAGAGGTTCTCGAACTAAAAGGGGGGCGATTGAACTAGTGCAAAAGTGATTGGTCGAGAGGCCACGAGTGTGCCCCTCGCCTCTCCCCTAAGGTCTCTCTAACTTATATCACCTACATAGTTCCTCAAGCAGGAGGGCTCATAGAGACTAGAGTGTTTTAACCCCCGACTCAACTTCAGACCTTCGTGATGAGCCTTGTCGAGGCTTTGCTCTTGCCCTTAGGTCTTTAAGGTCCCTTCTAGGCGAGACTTAGTCGAGTACCTCAGATGAAACTCAGTCGAGTTTCTCACATGCCTTTGCAGGAATATGTATGTATGACACGTGTCTGTCTAATTTGAAACATAAAAACCTTTGATAACCCCTAGTTTCCCTCCCCATTTAAGAAGACGAGAATCAAAATTTTCCTTTTTTTCGCGAACTTAATTGTCTAAGGTTAACAAATCATTTCTCCTACCTTAGCCATTGGATTGACTTGACTCACACATATCAAAATAAAAATCACCACCGCGCTTTATTGTTTCCAAAGGAATGGGAAAAAAACGAATAACCCAAAATAGGGGGAGAGAATCTAAGTTTAGGGGTTAGGTATGCAAAGGGAAGGTATTAACACCCTAAACATCTATGGTACTCCGCAGGAACCTCTTTGAAAATCTGTGTATTTTGGCCATAAAAGTTGTATAAAAATAGATGGTGGAGATGAGAAAAGAAATGTTTTTTACAATTTTTTCACCCGCCGCAATTGCGAACCTTTAGTGCCTATGTACCATCTTCCTTATAATAGGGGATCAGGTTACTCGTAGTTCACCATTAAAAAATTTAAAACACAAATGTGTTGGTTAATTTTAAGAGATAAGATATCATCGTATTATCCGAGTGGAAGAACATACTTACTACCCATGATTATGAAAAAGGAGAATTTGCGTCATCTCAAAGTGGAGGATATAGCTTGATTTTAAAATCAACAAAGCCTCGCTCAACACCCAAGTAGAAAATATCTTACTACACTACATATCGTAGAAGTATAGTAGCTTGCATCACTATAAGGATTGACAAGAGTCTAATCTTTTGAGAAATTTTTTAAGGTAAAAAGCCAAAGTGGCAAAATGGTTTAATGAGATTGATTGACTTTTAGTCTTCTCATAAAATGTCAAAGTATTATTAAGTTGTTTAAAGTTTGATTAAGAAAAGATTTTTGAAAATGCACGGACCTAAGTCCAAGTTTATTGTGAAAGCGGTTCAAGTTTAAAAATAAGAAGAGTTTTCAAAGGAGGGAGAATATTTTTGAAATTAAAGAAGGTGGGAGGAGATGAAGGGACAACCTAAAGCACAAGGTAAAAGCTAGGAAAAAGAACCATCTAACTAACAAGAAGCCAGCACTTGACATAATGAGTCAACGTAGAATTCTCATCCTTTGGATTGAAACCAAACAAGCAAAGATAATAAACCTCTTAAGGAAACCAAGCTTCAAAAGCATTAAATCTTCACAAAAATTAGGCAGAGTAACAACTATATACAAATGAATTCTCAATCACCGGTAAAGCACATAACCAGAATAACCTGCACACAAAGAAAACAAACAACCCAATGTCTCGGGGTAAACCCCAAGAACTCCAGACACAATAACAATAGAAGTCACAAGGTCTCAAGGGTGGTCAAGGTCTCTACTCCTAAGTTCAAGAAATCCATCACTCCATAATGCCAAGGATAGTGACCAAGTAGTTCAAGTAACATTAAAGTTTTTTATGGTTCAATTTGATTATTAGGTATCTTAAAAAAGAAATGAAAAGCTCAAGTGAGCAAAATAAAATGACATAAAGGTAAATGCTCAAGTGAGCAAAGATGAAAATAGCGTGAAATATAAATGCTAAAATAAATGTGCTTAAAGTAAAGAGCATAAAGTAAAGGTATAAAATAAAGTCAATTATTATAAATTAGAGGTTAGTTGAATGACCATCTTGAAACTTGCATTTGAAACTCATTAGAGAATTGATAAAACCAAAGCCTCTCAACAACAAGTTTCATTTGCTTTTTGTCAAGTATATCATTCATTTCAAAATCTCAAGGCAAGAATAAATGATCAATGATGTTTAAGTGATTCATTTTGACCAAAGCTTATGAAGATTCATTAGAGGATTGATAAGACCAAAGCCTCCTAAAAATTAATTACAAGATTATTGGATCAAAAGTTTCAAATTAACATACTTGGGCTTGCAAACATAGGTTTGGGCCACAAATGATCATTTCTCGAATCGAGATAAAATTTAGCGCTATGCTAAACAATCGTAAGTGGACTTATATAGAAGTTGCACCTATTTTGAGGCCGGTCAATAGCAATCTATGTACCATATGTTTAGAGAAATGATATGTAATTTATTCTCCAAAACATGAAGTACAAGTAAGAAGGGGATAAGATGACGAGGGAGGGGATAAGAATTAAACCATATTTGAACCAAAAATTTAATCAAGCTAACATTAAAATCATTCATCCATTTTGGTGGAGTTAAACTCAACACCTAAGATCCAATGATGTTAATAAAGCTCATGATTAAAATCTCATAGTTCAAGATCAGCCATAATATATACAAAAATAAAATTGTATTTAAAAAATAAAGTAAAAAGATTTTTTAAAATGGTTTTAAATGAAAATAAAAGGGAAAAATAGCAACTATATTCAAAACATCCAAGAAATATTCAATAAGACCATAGAAAAATCAGAAATGAGCTCAAATATTTTTATAATTTTTTTGGTAATTTTTTAAAGTCAGAAACTATTTTTAAAATTAAAAGAAATAGGCAAAATAAATTAAAAATCATGAAAAATAGTAAAGTCAGAAATAAAAATAAAATGAGGTCACCAATATTTGTCAAGAGGTCATCGGATCCTTCCATATTTTTTTAGAATTTAAAATTTAAGAAAAGTATTTTAAAACATTTAAAATAACTCAAATAAAGTGAAAAAAATATAAAAAATATCAAAAAAACAAAATATAATTGTGAAAAAATAATAATCAGTAAGAGAGAAATCAAAAGTATTTTTAATATTTTTTTTAGAGTTTTTGAAGTTAAAATGAATTCTTTATGAATTTTTGAAGTTTAAAACAAATAAAATCAGAAAATAAAATAAAAACCAAAAAGATGTAAGCCATTGGATCAATATCAAAACGCGTTTGTAATCAGATCCAAGGGATCTGACGTATTGTGCATATCATGGATATTAGTGAATAAAACACTGAATCATTTATTAAAATCAGAATTAAAAAAAAAGTGGCATGATATCATTGGTTGAGAGATGACACATTGGTCATCTTCAACCTCCAGCCATGCGAATTGCGGGTCTCTGAAATGGAAAAATTAGAGCTCGAGACCGGTACCATTCACTTCGTCTCTTCAAGACGATTCCAATGGTACCCACGTGAAAAATTTATGTAAGGTGTAGCTCAGTTGTTTTAGAAGGAAAGATTTGAAAAAGGATTTGAAAGTTCATGGACAAAACTCACTTCCAGTTGAAAACAAATGTTGCAACTAGAATCAGAATGATGAGAGCTTCATTGCAGTACCAAAGTTTGAGAGAATTGGTGAAAGAATCTACCTATTGAAGTTCAAATTTAGAGCTCTGAAACTTGACTTGGCTAGCACGATTTAGGAAGTCTTAGT